TACAGACCTATCACGCTTATAGGTGAAGTTTTTATAATTCATTAGTATGGAATAATAAAAGGCATGTTATAGTTATAGAATATGGTATTAGTAAACATTCTACAAATTATTTGACCCTTGAGTCGGTTTTTTGGCCAATATCTCCATTTGTGGATTGCGAGAAGCAACCAATTTTGTCTGCACACCTCACTGATGGAAACGTGTGGTACCATTTAAACCCCGGAGAGTTGCTAAAACTGATTATGTTTGTTTAGGGTCCATCTTGACTCTTGACTCTTTTTTGCCCGGACGCAGAGCAGGTCAGCAGAATCTTACCAGACCCTGTAGCAGACCTGACAGAGACGTGAAAAGAGCATATGATACCGGACAGTCGCCCATTTCCATTCTCTGCAGATACACAAGTCCAGTATTTAGCACATGCTCGCAGAGATGGACATAAGCTGCGGTGAGCTGAGGAGATAGGGTGTGAGAGACTGGGAGTTCACGCGCTGACAAGCTATCGTGCTTCTGTGGTTATCAAGATCGGACAAACGTGTACTAGAGATGATAATGTTGGCCTAGATAATCTCCACCCCGGAGGCTAAAACTCCGAGTGATTCATTCATTTATTTATTTCTTCTCAGTCTCTGTCTCTGTCTCTGTCTCTGTCTCTGTCTCTGTCTCTCTGTCTCTCTCTCTCTGTCTCTCTCTCTCTCTCTCTCTGTCTCTCTCTCTCTTTGTGTCTCTCTCTCTCTCTATCTGTCTATCTATCTATCTATCTTTCTATCTATAGGGTTGAGTTTTAATAAGTGTTTTACGGCACTTGCAACACAAGAATGTCATATAAGTGCCGAAGATTAGAAGTGTTACAAGAGAGTAACAAACACAAAAAAGGAGGGGAGATAAAGACGATAGATTATTTTTATCGGAAAGAAGGAGACAACCACACCAGAGCACCCGCCAACCATCCACTATCTATCTGTCTGTCTGTCTGTCTGTCTGTCTGTCTGTCTGTCTGTCTGTCTGTCTGTCTGTCTGTCTGTCTGTCTGTGCAGATGTACACGAGTAAAGACATAATAATAACGATAATAACCAGTCAAAACTCCACGAGTACACCACACTATGACGTGAATCAATGTGGGCACTTAATGACGCAAGATCCCATCCATGACCTTGAGTCTTTTTTTTCTTTTGATAAGTGTTTTACGGCGCTCGCAACTGCATAAGGTCATATGAGCGCGCGGGACACACCTAATATTTTCAGTTGGTAGGAAATTTTGAATTTTGCCAAGGTGGCGACTGAAGCCTACTCTTATCGATTTTAGACCACCAAGGGATCTTTAACGTGCGCAACTTGCACACCGGCCCTCCGACATTTTTCGCCCTTGTCCGAGAAGGGTAGGTGTAGATCTTTCCTATCAGAAGATCAGGGGTGTGGCTGAAAGACAGCAGTAAGAAGGAGCTAAGGAGTAGCAGTAGAAATGCTGCAGAAAGAGTCAGGAGCCCAAAGGAGGGACAAAGGAGGTGAGGGGTGGGGGCAGAAAGAGGAGATGAAAGTAGACGACAGAACATTGTTAAAGAGCAAGAAAGGAGGTGAAAAAAACAAAACAATTTATAGAAGAAAATGTTTCGGTCGCTACCCGGATTCGAACCCGGGACCTTTGAATGAGAGGCCAACACCTTAACCTCTAGGCCACGAGAGCCCCCTGACCTTGTGTCCAGAGTCAAAAAGTACCACAAGTGTAGAGTATGAGGCCAGTGGACTGGACCAGAGGTCAGACGCAGCAGTTATTCCCCCTAGCTTCTGATCATGCACAGACAGGAACTGGGAAATCCCTCCTCAGAAACTGTACAACTTCCTGTACGTACAGCAGCCGGTTGAGGCAGCTCTCGAGGTCTGACCACGTCATCAGGGATCTGTTGAAGCACACTCGATCGCTGACCGTTATACGGGGATCGGGTCTGGTCGGGCCGGTTTGCTCGCCAGATTGAGGGCGCAAAGCGGCTATCGTGGCATAATAATACGGGGTGCCCACTACGGCTGGATGGGGCCGATCGCCAACTCGGTCGAATGAAAAGGAAAACAAACACGTCTGTTTTTGAGGCGACCGAGTCGAGCGATCGGCCCGATCTGTCTGTCCCTTCCGTAGTATGCACCCCATATAAGCTGATCGCGCCCGACTCGCCGACTCAAAAAACCCCCAAACAAACTCGTTTGTTTTCAGGCAACGAATGGGGTGATCGCCCCAGACCCGACCCGACCCAATCTCATTCCTAATGGGCACCCCGTATTACTTCTGACCGTCTCCCAATCGCAGTATCACATTCGGAGACGTCCCCGACGGAGATAGACCAATTAAAATACTGTGTGCCTCTAGACTAAGTAAAAAAAATGTTGGGGGGGGGGGGGTACAGGTTTAACCCATAATTTGATATTTTGCAGGCAAGTTTGAAATTTTCAAGAAAATAATTGATTTACGACAGTTTTAGTGGCTATATGTGTGATCTGCAGTAAATAATACTTAGTTTGACCCCCCCCCCCCCAAAAAAAAAAAAGAAAAGAAAAGAAAAAGCAGTACATCTGTGTGCGGGAGTGAGTTTCCGAATAGTTCATGGGTGCTAGCCGGAGACGTCTCCGAATATCTTCTGACCGTCTCCACATACATCTAGGGTACCCGAGTATCTCCGCGTGGGCGTTGTCTTTCCGCTACATTCAGATATCTACTACAGAACGATGATGTACGCAGACCGTTTGCCTTGTTTCAAAGCACCGAACTGAATGGTCGCTTTTCTCGGACAATGTATGTCTTCAACTCTCTTCTTCTCTGTATCCATTCGGTCCTGGTGCTCGTGTGAAAAGAAACCAAACGATTTAATTTATTTTAACTGCCCTTAATCTTTTGCAGCCTCAGATCAGAAGTTAGATTCTATTTATGGGGCGTTTATCGAACTAAGTCTCAACCACTCTTGTCGATATCGGATTATACATATCGGAAATGTGATAACATGATTTCTACTAATGCGTCGAGTGGTTGTTACGTCATAGGCTAGCTGAAGAGTTCGGAGGTCTAATCCTATGTCAATAACTTGACCGTTACTTTGACGTCATTGATGTTTTGGTGTCTGTTGCTGCCATTCACCACGGTCTGCTCTTGCCTGATGAAGAATCACTCTGCCCCTCCCCCCTCCCCCCCCCCGCCCCTCCCTTCCAAACCTCCTGTTCTAGCCTCTATCTCTCTGTGTATCTCTTTCTCTGTCTCTGTCTCTGTCGCTCTCTCTCTCTCTCTCTCTCTCTCTCTCTCTCTCTCTCTCTCTCTCTCTCTCTCTCTCTCTCTCTCTCTCTCTCTCTCTCTCTACCTGACAACAATTCCCATTTCACTCCTCTCTTTTCGGACATAGTTCTTCCTAATCTTAGAGTAGTTAGAGAAGTTAGAGTGCCTTACCAGCTGTTGTAGATTGGAGTCATTTTCTATTTTAAAAAATATATATGCGTCTGTTTGGACAATGGCTGATGGGGCCTTGTTTCTTTTTCTCTTCTTTTTTCTCACTCTCTTGTCCAGCCTGATGTAAAATAAATATATTGTATGCTCAAATTGACCCAGTTAGAACACCTGGGAGGCCCAGTGCTTCAACCGTCCAGAGAGGGACAACATGGACTATGAGACGTACCTCATCATTAAAAAAAACTCAAACATATTGAACGTTTATACACCCTCCTCCCACCCCATCTTTTAAAATTAATAAATTTAAAAAATATATATAATCATAAATAATAAATAAATAGATAGATAATAACTTAATTATTCACACACACTAATTTCAATTCGACTTTTTTTTCTTCCGCAACTTTGAAAGACAAACTAAAACATGCATACTCTGAAATATGCGAATTCGTGTTTCTGATTTATTTGTGCATTATATCAAAGCAGGAAATATGGCCCAACTTGGCCTCTCGTCTGCTGTGTGACGTAACGTGTGTGTCTGTTACGTCCATGAACAGTGAAGCTCTCTTTAGTTTCGGTAAGAGTTTTACGGCACTTGCAACACAATAAGGTCCTATAAGTGCCGAAGAATAGATGTGTTACAGGAGAGTAACGTACAGAAAAAAGAAGGAGGGGAGATGTTATAAGGACCATAGATGTTCGATAGGAAAGAAGGAGCAATAAACTACACCAGAGCACCCGCCAACCACCCACAGACGCTGTCTGCTCGTGTTTGGATGAACTCAAGTAGAATCTACAGTTCACCCCAGGCTTTGTCGCGGTCACAACTTTGCTAGTGGGAAGAACAGCGTAAAAGTAACAGCAAAGGTTCCAACGACGATGGCAGAAGGGGAAATTTACCCAAAGGAAGGGAAAGAAAATACGTTGTGCAATTTCAGGAGGGGACATAATCATGTAGGAACTCATGAGTAGCATTCTAGTTCTTTGAGTTGTGTCCCTTTCAATTTGTGTGTGTGTGTGGGGGGGGGGGGGGGGGGGGTGTGATTGTGGTTGTTTTTTTTCCTCCTCTGTCATCAACTCTCGATGGACAAACAAAGAAAAGGCCCACTTTCCCAATGAGGCGAAATGATGTCTATCCACAAATTCCGCTTAAGTGAGCAAGAACATTTGAATTTGTTGGGTTGTTTTCCCATTCCTTTGGTTTCCCTCTGTTAAACACTGAATCATATGGAACTCTGCACAGTAGTGTGTTGTCTGTCTTGTTTTTGTGTTGTTGTTTTTCTAAACGAATTCTATTAAGTATTTTACAGTCATTTTATCAAAGAATGCTTGGGAAAACGGATCGATAGCTAGTCATCGTATATAATTAAACACGCCCTGTTTGCCCACCAATAGTCATTTCCGGTTATTCCCACCGGTGCTGTGTTTTTTCTCGTTACCCGGGTCAGGTGTAGTGTAAGGTCTTTGAACCTTACTCATGGATATAAACTTCCGGGTCACAGCTTTTTTTTGCGATTACAATTATTAATGATGAAGCTAGCGTTACTCGATACTTACAACATACTGACTACGATACATTATTAAGCTAAAGATCCTTTACAATAAAAACATCTAATATTATAACATGACGAAAACAAAAGCCAACAAATTGCCCTAGTTGGTAGTCAGTTCCCTTGCCCGTGTACTTATAGGTCTTAGTAACCTTTTGTGTATAGCATAGATACAGAAATTTTGTCCACACAAATCTCCATTCATTAAACTCATGGAACTTTATTTATATAGATAGACTAACTCTGTTTCACACAAGTTCAAAGTCTGGGAATGTGATGACTAACGTTGAATGGAACTGACATGTCTAAATCTTCCGTCATAACTACTGACATGAAAGAGAGGAGGGCATTTATAAATAATTATGTGAGGCCCATATAACTGCTTCACTTACTTAATTGCCACCTTCTAATAAAATAGAACTATAACTTTACTTTTCACTGCTTACATGAAATTATGAAATTACAATACTGCCAGACGATATTGAGAACGCTTTTGTTTTCACTTTTTTTCTTTATAGTACAAAACGAGAGGAATGATTAACCGTCTTGTCTAAAATCTTTTATGGCAATTCGGAATTGTCAATATTCGGTAGTGATATCGATTATCAGAATCAAATACTGCATTTTTCTGACTTTTACGAGTACTACTGTTGTCGACTACTCCAGTTTCTGTTTTATTCATCCAGACAAGAAAAAAGAAAAATAAACAATATCAACAATGGTAGAGCATGCCCTTCCTCACAAGGTTCAAGCTGATTTCGTTATTATCAAGCTATGTCCTCGCTGAAGAAGGACACATACGTTTGTCCCTGTTCGTTGTTTTTACACCTGACCCGGCAATTGATCTTTGCTGGGTGCACAACGAGAAGAGAATCTACTGCTACAATCCATTATAATCATAAAACCAATCTATCTTCAACTTCAAAGTGTAGTGTAGTGAAGTAAGTTACAGAGTGGATTGAACTGCATAGATCTAGCAGTCTCTTGCTATAGAGTCTGGCCGGGGCCCAGCGCAACGGAGGCTGTTCTAGAGGCTTGATCTTTGATTTAAATCTAGTGGGGTTAAATCATTAGTAGAGCACCAGAATTTCTGGCAGAATGTAGAAAATCTGGCTCGGCTCAACAACAGATACAGTAAAGAGATCATTCTTGTTCTACTGTTTAGTAGTTTAGTATTCTAAGGCTACAATCCTTTGAGTTTGAACAATGAGGTATTGTGTAGCAGCAAACTGTACAGCCCCACATAAAGGTCTTGGGGAGTCTGTGTTTGGTTTCCCCAAAGATCCTGTGTTGAGAGCTAAGTGGATCAAATTTGTGCGGGATAAAAGAGGCGACTTTCAAGGACCCTCGAAGTACTCCGTTTTGTGCCAGTATCACTTCACACACGATTGCTTTCAAAATGAGATGGCTGTGCGGATGGGATTCGTTAAAAAAAAGATAATAAATAAAGATGCAGTACCGACGATTCATAGACCACCTAAGTTGAAGAAAACAGAGACAGATGAGCCGAGAGGAAAAAGGTTGAAAGCGAAGGCGGTGATCAAAATGGGTGCTTTCCAAAGGTAAGTAGTCTGTGTACAAGTTGTGTAAGTGTAAACTATTTAGTAGAGTTGTGTGGATGTTACTGTACTTCTAGTTCAGCTTCCACTGGTCCAGGGTAGCATTGTAAATTACATTTTAAAAATGCAAAAAGTTTATAAAGATCTTTGTGAGCAAGAGTTCTGACTGAAACCTGGAGAAGAGTCCCAGAGAATGATGCGTGTCCTATAGAAGAGTTAGAAGACATAGATGATAGAATGAGGCTTGCCCAGGATAGGGAAAGGTGGAAACTGTTTTTTTTGTGGTCTGTACCCTGATTCAGGATTAGAAAGGCATTGATGATTATCTTATAACTTTGACTGGAGATTGGATAGAGGGGCCAGATACAATAAAAGATAAAGGCTTGTATGTAATTGTAATTAAAATTTGTAAAAAGTATGCACACTTTCTCGAATACCAATCTTTATTTTAAGTTTTCTTTTCTAAAAAATTTCACCTTTAGTTCACCTCCTCTCTAATAATTTCTTCTGCTTCTATCACCACTTTCATCTTTAAACAGATTCAACAGCTCTATGAAAAATGAAATGCCTTGAAGGTGTGTCTGCCAATGGAGGTTATTGACTAGAAATGGTAAAATTAATCAATTTCAAAATTTAAAGTTGATTGGGTTTTTTAATGTTTTCTTTTACCTTTTTACCTATGTGGAGAATGGGTTATGTATGTTTATTTCGGTTGCTAATAGAAGATATATATATTATTTTGTGATGACGGCCTCATTATCTAAAAATCCCTACTTTCACAGAGTGAGTGCCAGAACCACAGCACGTACACTGAGAAATGGAGCTGTACTGAGGTATGCAGACGCTGACGAATCTGATGCTCAGGCGGAATCTCACGATGCGAGCGACGGAGACAGCTCTTCTGGTTCAGGCTCCCCACATTTATCGACCAAAGATCCGAAACCTGGATATAATCCGGAGGAAGAAATGGACTTTACTGAAATTAATCATGGCATCGCTGGCAACGAGATCATGTGTTCTCTTTCAGAAGCAGATAGAGACGATTCTGCTGCAAGTCTGGACGAACCTAACCACGTTAATTCCGTGAATGTTAACAGCACGCTTGTTGTGAAAAGGGAGTTGGACGGGACAGGGGCGCACTACTGTGGTGATTCTCATCGAGGCAGGTCCCACAACTCCGTGGGATCTCCGCTCAGAGACGCAAGTTTTCCTGTCAAAATAAAGGAAGAAGCAGTGGAGACTCTGAGTGGAGGACTCGATGTTGTGCCCGCTGATTTACAGGTACAACCGCATTTAATTTGATGAATGCAGAGTTTGGCTTCTTCAGAAATTCATTATGCTTTTTATAAGCACAAGGGGGCTATCCCGAAAAATGCTGTTTTGAGAAAATCGAAGGTAAAGTTTTTTCCCCTTGTTCAGTTTCTTTAAAAGACAAGGAAAGTTTTCTCTATAACCAAACAAATATATATATAAACACCAATGAAACCAAACTTCTCCTATAGGTAGGGCAATGCCCACTTTTGGTGTTGGTCAAGATTTCTGGAAACCCCTGAAATCTGGGTCAGCCCACTTGTCCTTAAAAGCGACCAAATGTCCTAGACGGTCACCAACTGGAGCAGCAAAGTGGTTGTCTAAGACAGGTGGACATTAAACACGCTGTCATGTCATCGGGATATTTAAAAAAAAAAAATTCAACAGGAAAGGTGGGAAGTGATTGTTCTTGGAAAGCTGACTCAAGAACACTTCCTCTTTGGAAACAATTTGATGAGTTAGTTTTGTATTTAAAAAATTATGTTGTTTGAAATTATCACTGTCAAAAGATTTCATTTGATCACTAAGTCTAAGCGAAGTGGTACTTAATTACACACAGTGGAAGATAAGGAAAGAAAAAATGTGATAACCAACTCGTGCTTTTTTTCTCCTCTTGCTATACTTCTTTTTATCTCTTGCTTCATGTCCCTGCGATACGACATGATATAAAATTGATATGTATGTGGGGAAATGTTATTTGATATTTTCTTTCTGTGAACTTGCTGTTGTTTCCTTACTCATCAGCTTGTGATTAATTAATACTGTCATGCAAAGCTGGCCTTTATTTTTTAAGATGGTTGAAGGAATAGAGAAGAGGGGCTGCTTGTTGTCTATGATGGAAACCAGATCTGAGCTCACTATGTAATTCAAACATTTGTCAGTTTTAAATAGGTAAATTGTATAAAATTATAATGTGTAAGTCTGCCTGTCTGTTGAGGAAAAGGTATTAGATTAATTTAGTGTGTATTCAGACATAGTTTACAATACATAAGCAGTCAAACATATGGGCATTGTAAAATTTGCAAGGGAAGAGAAAATCTTTCACTGTTGGATGGAACTTAAAGGCATTAAACTCAGCTATTTAATTCAATGGCATCACTATTGAATTGGATTTGATGCCTTTTTAATGGTACTAATAAATGACCCACTTTTCTGTAAATGCAATTGACCTTTTATTAATGCATCAATTTCTCTAGTAACACATAAAACAGCAAAGAGAAAATGACTCAGATTCTGGTTGCAGTTCGGCAATTTGGTCTCAAGTTAGTGTGGAAATCAGGACTATCCAACGCCATGCGTTTGCCAAGAAGAAGAGATTGGGAACAGGAAAAGGTCACTTAGAACATCTTGAGAAAGTTGTACCAGAAAATGGCAATCAATTATGCACAGGTGTTAGTTGAAATAAGACTTCAAAATATTACGCGTTTGATTTTTTAAAGCTGAGATGTAAACATTAATGATTTTTAAATATTTCTGTAGCGATGATTTGAATGCATGGATTAAACTGTGATTATTTAATGCTGTCACATTATAAAGTATTGATAAATTATTTGATTAATACCTGGGACCCTAAATGCAGAAATATGGTGGAAGCTTTTGGTCCATCCATGTAAACTTTTCCAAAAAGAGTCGAGAAACATATTGTGTTTAGTCCGTCTACCATGGACAGACTTCTGTGTTAGGCTGGTGTAAATGGTTGCGTATAGCGGGATGAAATGTTTGAGTTGAAGGCGGACTGTGTTTGGTGAACAGTACTTATAGTTTTGTTTGTTTGTCTTCCTCAGCGTGTCCCCACGCTGTCCTCACACAATTCTCCCGGATGCTCGCCCAAGTTCATCAACCAGCTCGGAGCTGAGAGCGCTCCGATCCCCGCCACTCCTCAGATCAACGAGACGTCTGGTCATCTTTACGAGCATATGAAAATCTCAACAAAGACCTTTTACATGCACAGGAAAGATCATGAGCTGTTCCCCTCTGCCCCGACCTCTCACAACGGTGAACAGAGTGCAGGTTTGCCCGTGACCTCAATGTCGGCGACAACGTCTCTCACCAGCGTGACCAGCTCGAGCGTTGCCATGCCAACGTTGTCTGTCAGCAGAACGTCGGAGAACGGAGTCATACGGCTTCTTCCTTTTTCACCTCATTTAAAACCACAGGCGCAACCGCCGGTTGTGTCTAATAGTAGCTCTCCTGGCAGGGAGAGCAGTGTGAGAGACAACGTTGGAGTGAATGATAGAGCCAATAGGACTAGGGACAAGGCAATATCTCGTGTCTGTGAGTCGGGAAATTTCGACACCAGCGAGGAAGAAGTTTCAGCAGACGGCTTGGACAGTTCTTGGGGTGCTGGAAGTGATGATAACGCTTCGCCAAGAGAAATGGGCGTTGTTGATCTAGATGATATTGAGGTGACGGGTGGGTTAGACATCTCTGTGGACGAAATCTTGGAGGAAAATGATGATCATTATCCAACGACTTCAGCCGCGAACATGAAGAAAGCGTCGTCTTCATCAACAAGGACTACGATTAAGTCGTCTTCTATGTGCCATAAAATAGGGCCCAGGAGCTACAAACTCCGGAAAAGTCGTTTAAGCGACGACACGGTTGCGGCGCCAGAACTCTCCAACAGATCCACCCAGACAGCCTCGGGGAGGGCAGAGGGTCAGAGGTACACGCTACAGGTGGACCCAACCACGCTGAGGGACAAGAAATTGTTTCTGAAAGAGATGGAGAGAATACGTTTGTTCATGATGTGTAAAGGGGAGGATGCTATCGTGCACCTCAAGTGTTAGTCTGCAGCATCTGCCGTAAACTGACAAAACGCCTTTTTTTCTTCACAGCAATTTCGATAAGAAGAGAGGTTTTTTTGGTCAGTTTTACCATTGAAAAATAGAGTGATTCTGAAATTTCAATTCTACTTTATTTTTAAAAACAAGTCACAGTTCCACTTTCATTTTTTTTACTCAAGTAGGGTAACTGATCAGGCTTTCGATGAAGGAAATAAAAAATGTTGGCATCAAAATGAAAAAAGGCATTTAGTCCGCTGACGGCAGTCTGTTGCCGCTGGTAGATCGTTGTCAAGTATACTCTGTGTTTCTGTAGTGAGCTTGGTGAAAAATGGTGAAATGGTATTGGTTTAACTCCCCCGTCAACACTATTAGGTTATTTAAGAGGCGGGGTGTAGTGAGTTTGAATATGTTCTGAGTTGTCTCAGTGTAACATCAATGGCCTTGTCGGGCACACGATTGCACTCCGAGAAGTTCAGTTTTATGAGCGGGTACTTTTATTCTGTTTGCTTTCCATGGAGGCTGAGATTGTTTCAGAATGCTGTCAGTTATCAGGTCTGCTGGGGTGTAATACCGTAGATTGTAAAGCGGATAAAGCCTACTATTGAGGGGCAATTTGAGCTCTATACAAATACTGTCTATTACTGCTCCGGCTTGATTCTGCAGCCAGTTGAGATGCCTCATGATCAAATCGTGTGAACATCTGCAAGTATAGTCGAACCTTCTGTAATGAACACCTGTCCTAGAAAATCAGCTGTGGTGAAAATGACCACTTCCCACCTCCCCTTTTTCGGTTTTTCCTGTTCATAATGCCACTGTTCAAGTGGACCGCCTGTCTAAGGGTAGGACGAGGAGGAGGAGGAGGAGGACCACGTTTCTCCCCAGCACTGTGTGGTTGTCCTGGACAAGCTTGCCTGTAATTCTGTTGGATCCGATAAAACCAGAATGTTCTCCTATTGTGAATGACCTTATCTCAAAATTGTTTGAGTTTGAGTTGACGTTGAATTATTCGTCTAGAACTAGGATAGTTTGTTTATGCAGTCTTACGTTATTGTGGAAGTGACTAGGATAATTTGTTATGTACGGAGCCTTAGGTCACAGATCTGAAGTCTCAAGTCACTTTGTATCATATGTATGTATGTATATATTGTATGTTTGTGATAACTTATCAAGATAGTTCTTGTTTGAGGCTAGTCCGAAATGAGCTCTTTTGTGTTTGCTCATTTTTGCATCCATTAATTTTTGGACTCAGGAAGCATTTTTGTAAAAAGTAAGGTCTGCTGTTTGCGTAGTCGGTGACAGTTTCCAAGTATGGACAGACTGTAGCAAGGGCTTCATAGGGCTCGAACATAGGGCTTGAACCCTTGTCTTTTGGAGAGTGATTCCTGACTCTTACATTGTAGAGATGGACATGTCTTTAAAGTTCCTAATTTGTGAGGCAGCGTGGTGAAATCAGGCGCTCGTAAAAAGAATGGAATTGAAGAAAGAGGTGATTTTCCGTCAGTTTGACAAGTTTTATCCATTTTTTTTACTTGGCTAAACATCCTTTACATCTATTTAAAAACACATTTCTGTGTGCATTTTACTGAAAAAGATTGATAAAAGAAATAAAAAGTAAATTTTCAGTTTCCCAGGGCTCTCCAGCTATGGAATCCATTATGCTTTGGCAACCATTTTCTCTCTGTTTTTACCCCTGAAACCAGGCGACCCTCACCTCCTTCAATTGCAAATATTTTGACTTCTATTGAAAATAGCTAGCTTGGCGCTCATATGACCTTTTGCAGTTGCCAGCGCCGTAAAACTTCTACTAAAAAAAAAAAGAAAGATAGCTGGCTAATTTTTTCATCAAAAGCAAGACAAATGAACAAGCTTTAAGATAATACCAGTAACTCCATATGCCCAAAAATTGATGAGCGCCTGATTCCACCGCGTTGTGACACATTTGTTCTTTGTCTGATACTTGGTTGTAAGCTACTCTTAAGTTGCTTCACTCACTTAGACGTTGTACCATAGGTGTACAGTACAGCCACCACCAGCGTGCCTTACTACAGTTGTCAGAATGTTTCTTGTTCAAACCTACACTCCTCCTTTTTTGTGTTTGTTACTCCCTTGTAGTGGGTGGTAGGCGGGTGCTCTGGTGTGGTTTGCTCTTTTTTCCCTCTCAAACATCTATCGTCCTGATCTCTCCTCCTTTTTTTGTGTTTGTTACTCTCTTGTAACACCTCTAATCTTCGGCACTTATATGCCCTTATTGTGTTGCAAGTGCCATAAAACTCTTACTAAAACAAAAAGAACCTGCATGTCCTCATTGTGAATCGTTGAGTTCAGTCATTGCGTGAAATGTTTTTATTTCTAGTGAAAAGATGAGAGAAAAACAATTTTTGCCTGTCAGTATTTTTGTTACAAAGTTACGCTATTTTTTTAGCGGCACGTCTTTAAGCATTGTCGAATAATCAGATTGCACATCCTCGATAAGTTATTTATATATATGTGTGTTACAAGATCTCGCGGCATTACTGTCATTTACTTTGTCATTTTCAAAACCTTTTTCTTGAGTCATTTAACCTACAATATTGTTTTTCTCCTTTGGAAACCGTTTTGACTTTTGAGGACCTGACAGACTTGTAATATATTATATATGAAGTATGAAGAGTTCAGGGGAAACACGGGCCTAGTCACAAACTGGAAATTGGGAGGGTGTCAATTTTAAAACCTTGTGGACTCATGACTTCAGATTTGTTTGACTGGTGGTTTATTGTTATGTGTTGTTGAATAGGAAATCTAACAACAATAATCAACCAACAGTTGAACAGAAATACAGTTATGAGTCGACAAGCGTTCAAAATTGGCACCCTCACGATTTTCCGTTTGTGACTACTGTTGTTTTCCCGTGGTCTCCCAGTGTGTTAAATCAGCAGCAAACCAACACCAATATTGCAGCTCATACCAAACCATTCATGAGAAACAAGAATTTGTGAAGTTCATAAAATAAATTATGCATTTTGGTGACTGTCTTTTTGACTCTTTCCACCCTCCATTAGTCAATGATTTCATTTATAGATATAGACTGGAGGTGCGATGTGTGAGGAACCGCAGGAAAAGAGTCACTAAAAGTTTCAGGCAGAGAAAACTGAATTTCAGAACTTTAATGAATGGCAAAGTTACGCTACTTTTTAGCGGCACGTCTTTGAGCATTGTCGAATAATCAGATTGCAAATCCTCGATAAGTTATATTATATGTGTTACGAGATCTCACGGCCTTACTGCGGGCTTAAAGAGTATGCTAGTTTGAAAGGTTTTTGTTTTTCTGTTAAGGGGGAGATAAAAATTTTAAGAATTTCTTGTTTTCCCTGAGGAGGAGATAAAATCTTGGAGCTGGTGTTACTGTTTCTGTTATCGAAGACTATGAAAGGACTGTCAAACCTGATCCAGCGACCAGATGTTTAAGGTAATCACCTGTACAAACGGCCACTTCCCAATTCCCCTCGACTATGGGTGGTCACCGTGGACTGGTTTGACTGTAGCTTTTCAACTTTTTATCTGTAGCTTTCTGCCAGCTGTGTACTGATGTTGAAAAACAAAACAGTAGTTGTGCAACGTAACCTCAAAACTGTTATAATAATTAATAATTAATAATAAATATTAGTGTAAAAGAGATATTATATGTACCTGGCACAGTTAAAAAGGACAAAGTGTGGCCTTTTGCCCTCCCTGGCCCAACAACCCAACTTGACACAGCTTTGCTATTTGGCCTTCTACGCGCCTTCTACGTGCAGCGATCAAACTGAATGTGATTGGGATCACACAAGCCTGTAAAAACAAAACCATAGATCTACACAGTGGAAATCCCATCAACGTGCTCAAACATAATCCATTGTCATAAACAAAGCAGAGTTTGAAAAAAGTTCTTTCATTTAAAAAAAACCCAAACAGATTCTAATGTGATCAAAACAATATTTTGATTGTATGGCTATGAATAGATCTGATACCAGAGCTTCAGTGTCGCTCACAGAAGACACATCGAGGTAAAGAGAAGATGATCATTCACTAAACAAAAAAGTCCTCATGCAATCGTGGAGAGAAAATAAAAATAAATTTGATCTTTAAACGTGGGTTCATCCGTGAATCATTTAATACATTTTTATGCTTTGACTCTGGATTTGATATTGTTTTTACGATATGACTTATTTTAAAATTATTTTATTTTTAATGGTCATTTTATCCCAGGTGGGGTGCAAACTGTTTGAATGTAAAAAAAATCAGGCTGCTATTTATGTTTGCCGTGTGACCCAAAATGTCTGCGAATTTTGTTTTACTATCAAATGATTAAGATTCGGATTGACTGAAGGCACACTTAAATCCAAAACCTGTCCTTTTTCAACTGTAATTTGTAAAACCCCCTTTGATGTCTTAACCTGTCCACGAATAATGTTGTAATAAGCTGCTCGAGATAATGTATAGCGGTACATTCTCCATGTGTCAGGTAGGCCTATGTCTACTTTGCCACACTGAAAGTTCTGACAATACAGCTTTTCAGTAGTGCCATAATTTTTTTTTTAATCCACTAACCGAGGTATATATTATACATATATATATATCTATATATATATATATATATATATATATATATATATATATATATATATATATATATATATAGATATATATATATATATAGATATATATATATATATATGTATATATATATATATATATATATAATATATATATATATATGTCAACACATACCATACTGAGCTAGAACAGTCTTCTTATGATCAAAACTGCAAACCAATTTCTGAGGCATGAACATAATGTTCAAATAAACAAGGATTGTGAAGACAATATTTGTATATCATGTCCTTGTAGGTCAAGGGGTATTGCATATATATATAACTATTATAATCAGCTGTATCCAAACATGAGGATCTTCCCTACACTATGAAGACAAAGAGCCACCGGACAATTTACACTTGTAATTTGTCGAACATGAACACGTCTTTTCTACTGAACAAACATTAAGTTTCTGGTGTGTATGAATTCCAAATAATAGACTTCCCTGTGTAAGACTCCATCATATCATCGCCTCAGAACTATTTTGTCCAAAGTGCCTCTGTACTTAGTACACTTTGGACAAAATGTGAGGCAGCGTGGTGGAATCAGGCTCTCGTCAATTTTTGGGCATGTAGAGTTATTGGTATCAT